ATATCTGAATTTATGAAATAAGAGAATTGTTTTCAGGAAGAAGCTACATTTTGTGCTACATTTTAGGAAGAATTAAGAATTATTCTAATCGGCATATAGAATATGTTAAGAAGGAGAAACAAAATTTTTCAATTTCGGCACTTACGTTGTTTTCTACAAACACTCCTTAATTGTTATACGATTTTCTTCGTTTGTGAAACATTTATCACGGCGTTCCTAAATAGAAATTTAATCATTTAATCATGACTAAACGACTTGAATTTTTTTTAGATGATAGAGGGACTAGTCTACTAGACGATGACTGAAAAGCCTTTCTTTAATTTTGCTATTACTTGGAATGACAAAAAAATAAAAATCTCTCGGATAGAAGAGTTCAAAAACGAGGGTTTTAAGTTTTTTCTTTTCATTCCAAGTAATAGCAAAATTAAAAAGAAGCTTTTTTAGTCATCGTCTAGTAGACGATGTCCCTCTACCATCTAAAAGAAAATTCGAGTTATTTAGTTCAGTTTTGAAAAAGCTTGCGTTTTAAAAGCTGTACGAACACTTTTGTGGGCCACTGTAGATAATAGAAATCAATACCTGATTTTGAAGTCTGCTTTGCTAGGTTCTAATCAGAGTACACCAAGCTTTCTCGGTGTCGACGAGAGATAAGAAGGTCACTTTAATAAATCTTGTCTTTTTTATTCGCAGCTAGACGAGAAAATCGTCCTTCGAATTTGCACAACTCTCGCAAGCCGTCGGCGTATCAGCCGACGTGTTCGGTAAAAATCCGTTTGCTTCAGAACGGAATGGAAAAAACAAAGAATAGAAAGCAGCAACATCGTCGAACCGGAAACAAAACGAAACCGGACGCGGTGAGCCTATTTGGCTGTGCGGTTCGCCAGCGGATGAATTCGACCGCGAAAAAGAAAGCGGAGATGTTAAAACGATTTTTAATTATTTTCGCGGTGTCCGGTTTTCGCCGGACACTTTATGCGAAGTTCTGGCCAGAGCATTTGGAACGATGCCTTCATATTTGTTCAACTTTTAATTGCTGTTTCATTCTGCTACACGGGACAATCCAGCTCCGGCTGCTAATTATGCTTCCTGTTTTCTCGCCGCGTCTCGTTTTCTCTCCTCCACCATCGGCCTCCCACTTTCTTCCGCCATAACAATCTCGCGACGTTATGATCTACGGAAGTTTTCATTACTCCCGCCATAGGAATTGATGATTTACTTTTTGCTGTCTCTTCGAACCTCTTGCTTTCCGTCGGCGCGCTTTCATTCCCTTGGAAGCATCCGCGTTTCCGTTTTAATTAATAATCTGGACGCTCGCATTAGTTATTCGTCACGTTTGTTGCATTTTGGTGCTTTTTAAGAACGTTACTTTTCGTGTTCCATTCCATCGGAACAATCTTTACGAATCGAACGATTATCGTAAGAAATTTTCAATTAGAATGGTAACTGAGTTTCTGATTAAAATTTTTATTCCAACTTTTAGCGCTGTTTTGCGTTTATTTTTCGTATAAAGATGTTCGGGCTGGATTTTATCTGCAGAATTCGAGAGAAGACGTTAAGCCGGTGAGTTTTGCGTTTGAATTATCCAACAAGTGTGATTTCCAAACGACTCGCAGATTAATCGAACAAATTTCTTGCAATAGACAGATTTTGGATAGAAAAAGGATACGCAAAATTTTTCGCCGTGGCTATCGATTTGTTTCGATGACGATCGTCGTGGACGCGTTATTTTCACAATGCTCGAATCGCTGATCCAGCAACCGTGAAAATCTCACAGAGCGGGGCCGATTTATTGAATGGAACGGAAATAGCGAAGTTAAGATTTATAGAAGTGATTACACTCGTTCAATCCTTTCACAGCTCACGGATCCTCCAACGTATCGGCACAACTTTGACGTCTAAAATTGGATCAAATATTTCATTTGATACCGTCAATCCCAGCCTGTAGGCCGAAGTTTAAGAATCAACTCGGCGCATTAATAATAATGCCGTCTAATGTAATGCTATTAATTGAATCGTTACTGTTATCGCCCGTCTTCATTATTCACGATTACGTGTAGTTATTACAGTAGGATCTAATGGCAGCCGGATAATAAAGAGGACACGTAAAAGGCAGCGCGCAATATGCTGTTATATTGCCCGGCTTCGAGAGCGCTTATAAACCAGGCTCTAAAACTAAAAGCCCCGGGAGTAGACGTTAAAACAAACCATTGAAAAGGAGTACGACTGAATAGAATATTAAGTGAAATGGCGCGGAATATATAGGTTTAGTGCTGGCGAGTTTCGAAGACGGCTGTGTGTAACCAGTGTACATGTATTGTTTGCGAGAGAGCTGTATTAATTTGTTAAATTATTGCTCATTCGTTCGTTTAATTTGCACGAAGCTAAGCACGTGTTCCTGCTGGATTCAAACGAAGAAGAAGATTACGCGTACGTATAATATTATATAAATTGTATAAATTTTACTTAATCACTTAATGGTTACTTAATACTTAATTACTTGATAAATTACTTAATTATATTATATAAATTATGTATCATATTATACATTAATATATTTATACGTATAATACACGTAATTCGTAATATTATAAAATATAATATTACACATTAATATATTATTACGTAATATAATATTATTATAATGCAATGTACGTAATTCGTAATATTATAAAATATAATATTACACATTAATATATTATTACGTAATATAATATTATTATAATGCAATGTACGTAATTCGTAATATTATAAAATATAATATTACACATTAATATATTATTACGTAATATAATATTATTATAATGCAATGTACGTAATTCGTAATATTATAAAATATAATATTATACATTAATATATTATTACGTAATATACGTAACTTTTAATGTTATAAAGTATAATATTACTAATGTATTATTAATGTATTACAATAACATAAAATATATACAATTACATGTAAATATATAATTATAATGAATTTTTAA